TCCCTAGTGTAAAGAAAATAGCTCAAGATCCAAAAATTAGCAATCATTTGTTGTTTGGTTGGGTTTCATGTTCAGATATTGATTGCAGAAACCTCGTGTGACCGGATAACAATCTTCTGAGGCTTCTGTATTGCCTGTACCAAAGACAGAACAATGTAAGCATAAGAGACAGACCAGACCACTCGAGGAACAAGCAACAAAAATGTTGAAGAGATTACATCTACATCATGATCTTAACATTTACACCAACAAAAAATAAAATGTTGAAGAGTTTGGTTACATTACTACTGAGTAGCAAGTCATGTGGCTGGAGCATGTGAATCACATCTCCCATTTTAGGTCTCTCTTCTATTTCAGGATCAACACAACGCAATGCGATCAACACAATCCGTTTGAGTTCCTTTACAGTAGGAAATTCAGGCAGGTTTGGATCAAGAACATCTACTATCATGTGATTCGCCACCATTGTTTTGATCCAGTCCACAAGATAAACCTGCAAAAGAACCACATTGTTTATTCCCCTGGTAACCTTCAAGGTACAGAAATGGTAATTTATAGTCAAAATATGTATTTTCCACTCTCACATTTGGTGAGCTTTGGTCTACAGAGACTCTCCCTGATACAAGCTCCATTATCAAAGTCCCAAAGCAATGCACATCCATTTTCTCATCCAGAATACTACTGTGACTGGTGAATCCAACGTCAAGTATCTTTGGATTCCATTCATAATCCAGAAGAATCTTGCTCGGTCTTATATCTTGATGAGTAATCCTTGGTTCAATGTCCTCGTGAAAATACGCGAGTCTGATCACAACACAAAAAATGAATAACCAACAATATTCTCATGCATATATAATACAAATCCATATAGAGAAGAGATCATCAAACCCTTTTGCTACTCCTTGAATGATCTTCATCCTCTTTCTCCAAGTCAAAGGCCGGTTTCTCCCTGAAGATCCATGAAGCCATTCGCGCAAATCGCCTTTCTCAGCGTATTCATACACAAGAACCCTAAAATTTATAGACTCATGAGTCTACATTACAACACAAGTCACACAAAAGAAGCAATATACACTAATATACCTCTCGTCTCCTTCAATGCAATATCCAAGGAGTCTCGCCACATTCTTGTGTCTGACATTTGCAATCATCTCAGCTCTTGTTATGAATTCTTTATCATCTTCATACCTGGTTTTTTACTTTTATTCTCAGATCAAAATATCAAGATTCCAAGATTTATGAGAAGATCAAGCAATAAAGAAACACCTTTGATCAATAATGGGGAAGAAGCGTTTGACAGAAACAGTGATTGTACCCATCAAGATTCCGCGATACACTATCGAAGAATCTCCTTTAGCAATCAGATTCTCATCTGCAAACCCATCAGTCACATTCTGAATCTCCATGAATGTAAACACTGTGAAGCTTCCAAATCCACCAGTAGATGAGAAGCTGCGAGTGTAGTAAGGAATATGGGCAGAGTACCGACTAACCGGAGAGATTCTCAGGTTCTCTCCTTCGTCGACGCAACGGTTGTACGGATTATATCGTCTGTTGTTTAAGGGAACGTGTGACAAAGGCAGACAAAGCTTTGATTTTAGTCTGAATGGTTCTTGTCTACCTTTTCTCCTGTGTAAGATGAAACAGAGGAAGACAAAAACGATCAACGCGAGGAGGAAAGCTATGGAAGCGGAAGCTGTGATGAGTATCCAAAGCTTGACGCCAAAGAAAGAAGTGTGTTGAGAGAGTTTGTGTTGGATCAGATCTGATCCTTGTGATGATATGATGATTCTTTTCATCACTATCAGTTTTTGTGGTGATAAAATTGATAAATCAGAGAGAAGTAAGATATCGAGCCAATTCTTCTGCATTCTCATTTAAGTTTTTGTTTTTGTTTTTGTGGGTTTTTGAAATGCGGTTATAAAAGTGTGCAAGAAGATTTGGTAGTATCCAAAGATGTAGCATAAGAGGTTATGAATTTTGGTTGACTGCGTCTATAACAAATATCAAAGAATTTTTAGGGCTTACGATCTATATATTTCTTGGAATTGGATAATAGGAATCTTTGATCACTCTACTGTCTTATTAATTTCTTTAAAATTTTTTTGAATAAATTATAGGGACATGAACTATATTAACCCAAAATTAACAATTAATAACTTTAATAACCTACAAAAAAAAATTACTAAATAGTTTTGC